TTAGTGTATCAGAGGTTTGAGGAGTGGCTTAATCGAGATTGGCTTTTATGCTTGTGTCTATTGATTAAGTAGACTACGTCACCAATACTGCGTCACCACATTGCGACTGCTTTCCGATAAACAGAATCTAGATGACGTGCGACGGCATGTTAGCTTTTTAAACAACAAATTAATCAACTTGTTTTTGTCGAAGAAAGATTTAGGACGACTTAATTAGCGTCTGTGTGGATTTCAATTAAATCATGACGAACGCTTTGATTCTGATTAATTTCTTTGTTTTTTTGGATGTCTCGAATTTAATCGCTCGAGTCGTTAATCGTTAATTTGATGTCGTTGTTGTTGACTCACTGGGCTATTGTCTTGTAAAGCTTGAAGTGTTTATCTGAGTTTGCGATGTTCGATCATTCCAGACTTTCATTCATTCGAGACTTCTCACTGATGGTCGTGTGGGAATAGCGTTCCAACTGACTGAGACTTTATCTGGGGCATTTTGTCGTGTAAGAAGAGGAGATACCCCATCATGGAAGGAAATTCCGATCAGGAAGAAGGGGAGCAAAAGTAATGATTCTCATGGGGTTTCGATCGCTTTCGTTTGTAAATTTGTTAATTTATATGATCGGATTTGATGTCTCTTTGCGAAAACGTGTAACATCTAACGTATATTGAAGTTCTATTCGTGTTATTTTGATGTTTGCGGAAATTTATTTGTGATTCTGTATGATGGGCCTTCTTCTCGGGCGTGAGATTGAGCTGTTTTGCAATGAGGCGCGCGTTCTATTGCACTAGTGAAATTTTGAGTGATAGCTTTTGATGGTTCGGAATTTCAGAAATATGGCAGAAGCACACAGTGTAGCTGCGCTATCGTTCACGCTAACCCACGACGGTGTCTCGGTTTCATATGATCAAGAACTTCTTCGTGACATTTGGCATGCCTTCACAAGGGCTTACAAACGACGATTAGCACGATTCAAGGTTGATTTTTGATTCTTCTTGTTTTTTGCTGTCTTGTTCATTCAGTTTTTTACTCGTTTGTTATTCACATACTTCTTTATTCATTCATAAGTACATGTTTATGTATTCTGTCGATTTTTATTTTGTAACAAATTTATTACTATGATTGGTCTTTCATGTGAAAAGAGCATTATAAATGTATAGCATTTTCAAGGCAGTTGATGATTTATTCATGAGTTTCTTCATCTGTACAGTGATTAAGTAGACATCCAATGCACAGTCGGATAATCTCTGATAGTGAATGCAGTTGAGTGGATTTCGCTGAATTTCGTTAGAGTGATTCATTTATTGTTACGCGTATTCTATGGAAGGAATATTAATCGAATATACAAATGCGCAAGGGCGATTCTTACAATTAATATTAGTGACAGAGGGCGATTGTTATATCGATACCAATGAGATAGCCCATGATGATAGTGATTAACATAGAAAAAAGTACAAAAATGTTAGTGATAACTGTAAATTATGAAAAAATAAGGATAAAGATGAAATGTATTCTTTGTACTCAGTATAAAGTGGCCGTAAAAATTCTACAAATGTAACAATTCAGCGTAAACAATTAAGTGAACACGTGGTGATTTATTGTTTATCGTAGTTCACCTTTGTACCTTGGACGTTGATCATCAGCACAGTAGTGTATTCGATTGAAGGTAGCAAAGGGAGAAGATGGTGACACTGTGCATGTTTGCATGATACATATAAGAGATTGCATGATATGAACACAAGTTTTGTATGATGGTATTCATGATGAGAGTGAGGAGTTAGTTCATGGAAAGAAGATAGACAATTAATTTATGCACATTGATCTATCTTGTCAAGGAAATTGTAAATACATGTGGAGAGAAAACTTTTGAATCTGGAATACTTCTGATTGCAGTCAATGATTAAGGGAAATGCATTGCATGATCAAACTATAGCCCAATTTGCAATGAAGAATGTTTAAACAATTGTTTTGGAGGTGTAGAAGCAGTAGCAGTTTGCAGTAGGACGGCATGAGTTTAAGTTTAACTTCAGTGTAAAGCTAATTGTAAGGTTAATGTTGAAAATTGAGATGGGGAATAATGAAAACGTGTGGAGTGATTGATGGGATCGTTTGGGAATGGTGACAGACAGCATAAAAAAATTCTTCGAATCATGGTTGTTTGATTCATAAATTGGTATTGTCTCAAGTCTAACAATGAGGATGTGATCTGCCCTGTACAGCTGGCTTTTACTTTTATGTTTTTTTGAGTATGTGTTAGTAGAGTTCAGTTTTCGTAGCCGGTATTAATATTTCCTAAAAATATTTCAGAATGATTTCATAACGGGAATATTTCCGGCTAATACCTACTCGTTCTGTGCAGTTATCATTTCGTTGACAGTCTTTTCGGTATTCCGTCGTGACCTATCGTTTGGAATCGTACCGTTTGTACAGCATTATCTGTTTGCATTTTTGTTTGGGTACGATACTTCTACAAGTTCATATTTATCGCTTTAATTTTTATCCCAAAAGAAAAATTTTCAAATTTCTATTTTGGAAAATTCAAATGTTCTAAAAATTTTTCGGATTTTTCAAATTCTCATCATTTTCTTGCTCTGAAAGTTCACTTTTCTTTTACTTTTTAGGTCATTATTACTTTTTGCTATTACTCTAGCACATAAAAATTTTTTATAGTGATGGAGTGATATCACAAATGTTATCGCTCGTAATATGTGGTGCATTGATATGGTTTGTTGCAATACAAGCGATTCGCCTGAGTCTAAAAGCTTTTCTCTCATATAAGGGATGGCTCTATGAGGATCCTCTGAAGTCCATTTCGAATAAATCAAAAATATGGCTCGTAAGTTACTTTCTATCGAAAAATTTCCATCTAAAAATTTGAAGAAGAGATCTTGTTTTGTTTGGAACAAGACTGTGAGCTTAGTGAATCAGATGGAATGGATAAAACTTGATTGAACCATTTGATCAACGAAAATATTTCTAAAAGTACTTATACGAACAGATGTAATGATGAATAAATTTAAGCAAGCCTTGCATTTCATTTCGAAGAGTGACCCGATGCTACATTCATTTCAAGGAGCGTTACCACATTTACCATTGCCGAGTCTACAAGAGACTCTCGATAAGGTAATATTCATGCTCTGAGACGCTGTTAACGTTATTTTCATGATCACTTAACGTTGTTTTGTATTATTAACATTCTGGATGCTTTATTGTTGATCACATATGGTTCAACACTTGCATTTGAATTTGAACAAAGCATATGGAAATGTGAATGTCGCTAGTTCGAGGATTTCGGATCATTATGAATTTGGTGATAAGTGATTTAGTACGAAATAAATTCAGTGAGTTTTGAAACGTGCCACGGAGTTGATGGTCAGATTGCGTTTTAGAAATTGTTATTCAGTTTTGTGAGCAATTTCAGCATTTGACGTCAATGCGTCCCATATGTACAGACGAAGAATACGATGAGCTGGTTGAGTTGACGCATAAATTTAGTAAGGGAATTGGGCGTCGTCTGCAGCGATATTTGGTGATCAAATGGATTTTGTCGATCAATTACATCACCGATTGGTGGGAGGAATTCGTTTATTTGCGACAGCGATCACCGATCATGATCAACAGTAACTATTACGGCTTTGATACGCTACGGGGACACCCAACGAATTGTCAAGCAGCACGAGCTGCGAATATCACTTATGTGGCGTTGAAATTTAGGAGAATGGTCGAGAGACAGGAAGTTAAACCGGTAATATATAACATTTAATGATTGCATTCTACATTAGCATTTTCACGTCTTCCATCAAATACAACATGAGAATGTTTTCGACGAGACCAAAACCACTTCAAATTGATTACATGATAAACACTTGGAATTCATTATCAATATAATATCAATGGTATTATCACTATCAGTTTACTCATATTTTGATTGGGATTATACTTTTGGATTGGATTTGAGAATGAACTGATTTGAAATGAATTCATTAATGTGCATTCAGTATGCAATCGC